TATGCGCCGATTTCTCAACCGGCCTAAATGCAGCTATCCAGCAGCACCATTATCCACTACCAGTACCCGACGATCTATTCACTGTTCTGAACGGTGGGAAGTTCTTCGCCAAAATCGACCTGGCTGAAGCGTACCTTCAAGTTGAAGTCGCACCAGAATCACGCCCACTACTGACAATCAACACACACCGCGGGCTGTATCAGTACAACCGTCTTCCGTTTGGCGTCAAAACCGCCCCAGCAATTTTCCAGCAATTGATGGACACCATCCTTTCTGGCATTCCAGGTGTGGTCGCATACCTGGACGACGTGCTGATCGTTGCTGTTTCCCCCGAAGAGCTTCGTGAGCGAATCAATGCCGTCTTACTGCGCATTCAGGACAATGGCCTCCGCCTCCGTCCCGAGAAGTGTCAATTCTTCTTGACAACTGTGAAATATCTTGGGTTCATTTTTGACGCCTCTGGTCGCTATCCTGACCCGGAAAACGTTCGAGCTATACAGCAGATGCCACCTCCTAAGGATGTACCATCATTACGTTCCCTTTTGGGGTTAATCAGCTACTATTCGGCATTCCTGCCTTCGTTGCACGACATCCGGCCCCCGCTAAATCGGTTGCTTGGAAAGGATGTCCCCTGGTGTTGGTCAGACGAATGCGAGGAAGCATTCTGCAAACTAAAGACGATGCTCAGTTCTGATCTGCTACTTACCCACTACGACCCAAAGCTGCCGATCGTTGTGGCAGCTGATGCCTCTAATTTTGGTGTCGGTGCCGTCATTCTACACGTCTTTCCAGACGGATCGGAGAGGGCCATTATGCATGCGTCGAAATCACTAACCCCAGCAGAACAGCGATACGCACAGATAGAGAAAGAAGCGTTGGCCTTAGTGTTCGCGGTTCGGCGTTTCCACAAAATGTTGTATGGCCGCCGTTTCACCCTACTTACCGATCATAAACCATTGCTCTCCATTTTCGGCTCAAGGAAAGGTGTTCCCGTACACTCTGCCAACCGCCTGCAAAGATGGGCCCTGATTATGCTGGGTTATGACTTCGATATTCAATATCGACGCACCACCGACTTCGGTCAGGCCGATGCATTATCTCGGCTGATCAACAACCAGCCAACACCCGAAGAAGACACGGTTATTGCGCATGTTGCATTTGAGGACCCAGCCGACCCACAGTTGGTCCAGTCCGTTCGTGCCCTGCCCGTGACAGTAACAGAGGTTCAAAGAGCTACCACAGCTGATGGAACGCTTCAAAAGGTGATCCGATTCATGAATTCTCGGTGGCCTTCGAATCTCAAAGATGATTCCCTTCGACAGCTCTTTCATCGCCGAGATGCATTAGCGATCGTAAAAGATTGTTTAATGTTTGGAGATCGCGTGGTGATTCCGCAACCTTTACGCCATCGAGTTCTTCGTCAGTTCCATTCTGGACATCCAGGAATCAACCGTATGAAGTCAATAGCTCGCAGTTACGCATACTGGCCGCACATGGACCAGCACATCACTGATTTTGTAAAACGCTGCTCCCGATGTCAACAAGCTTCAAAGAATCCGCCACACCAACCACCGGTTCCCTGGCCTCGACCTGAAAAGCCCTGGTCTCGGATCCACATTGATTACGCAGGACCGATAAATGGCACTTTTTATTTGGTTTTGATTGACGCTTTTTCCAAGTGGCCAGAAATCGTTCCGGTGTCATCTCCAACAACATCTAGTACGCTGAGAGTGTTATCCAACATTTTCAGTCAGCATGGATTACCGGAGTCCATAGTCTCAGACAATGGTTCGCAGTTCACCTCTGCTGAGTTCCGCGACTTCTGCACTCGACATGCGATAACACACGTTCGTTCACCACCGTACCACCCACAATCGAACGGTCAAGCAGAAAGGTTCGTCGACACATTCAAGAGGGCTTTGCTTAAAGCTCGAGGGGAGGAGACATCCGTCGAAGCCCTTCAGAGATTCCTGTTTGTGTACCGAACGACCCCGAATGACGCTTTGGCAAACCACCAGTCACCTGCAGAGGCACTCATGGGCCGTAAACTTAGAACTGTGCATTCTTCCATGTTGCCAACACAACCTACTGAGTCAAGGTCCATACCGGTGGCAGTTGGAACTCCATTCAAGGTGGGAACGCCCGTGCTTGTCCGTGACTATCGCCCAGGACATGATTCATGGATTGCAGGTCGTATCCTGCGCAAACGCGGTAGTGTAATGTACGACGTGTCGGTTGGTCAAGACACCTGGACCAGACATCAAAACCAACTCCGCTTTAACAGCACGCCGGAAACTCAAGTATGTTCGGGTAGCATACCGTTGGACATATTGCTCGATACTTTTGAGCTGAAAACTGAGACAGCTTCGAAAGAGGAGAGTGTGACCGGCAGCTCAGTATTTGATCCAACACTTCTTCCCAGGCGGTGGACAGACCGACGCCGCCGCCAGCCGGAGCGTATCCAGGTCGACCCCCGTCGAGTACGCTACTGACTTTTCACAAGGGGAGGTGTTGGGGATATCAATATCCCCCAGAAAACGCTGTTTTTATGTGTGCTAGCGAACTCCTGGCATCTTCAAGGTCAAACTATGAAAAATCAATGGCCTATTGATACTCCAAGAAAATTTAAATCCGACCACGTACAGGATACCATTCTTTCCACTGACTTGGGTTCGGAAGCTCCGGGCATCGCCTGTTGATCGTGTGTTGTTGGATTATTAAAGTTTGTGTCCGAGGTTCTCGTCTTCTTACTATTCGCCGTGCTAGGAGTCTGTATCAAGCAACATAGCTGGGGATAGAGTATTGCCACAATCCGCATTATCATATTGTTTGCTCGCTGCGTGACCGAACCGTAACATATTTGGCGACGCAAGATGGAGGCAGAACAACTCAAAGTAATGTTTGAGCAACAACTGCAACTCATCAAAGTACTTACGGAGCGACTATCAACTACATCTTTGGCTTCACCGGCGGCGTCGAGTGTCCCACAGTCGGTTGATGGAATCGCTGGCAGTATCAACGAATTTTGCTATGAACCCTCAGCTGGCATAACGTTTGATGCTTGGTTTCGTCGCTATGAAGACCTGTTCAGGGTCGATTTTTCACTTCAAGATGATAGTTGGAAGGTTCGCCTCCTGCTCCGCAAACTTGGACCCGCAGAGCATGATAAGTACGCTAACTATATTCTGCCAAAAAACCCGCGCGATTTCACTTTTGATGAAACGGTCAACACGCTTTCACAAATATTCGGTGAGCAAACGTCACTTTTCAACATCCGTTATCGATGCATGAAGCTAGTGAAGAGTGATGCAGACGACTTCCTCACATATTCTGGCATCGTGAACCGGGAATGCGAACGGTTCAAACTCGGATCGTTAACGGAAGATCAGTTCAAGTCGCTGATTTTCATATGTGGTCTACAATCCCCGAAGGATGCAGAAATCCGTACCCGACTCCTCAGCCGCATCGAGCAGGACCCATCCATGACGCTGCAGGCCGTCACCTCGGAGTGTCAACGGTTGCTTAACCTGAAGCATGACACCGCGATGGTCCAACTCGGGGGTCATGGCGGTTCCGAGGTTCATGCAATACACCAGGATACGCAACAGCCTGGCCCTGTCAATTCTGGCCCAACCAAATCGACCTCGCAGTGTTCTGGTCCGAAGCAAAACAAAGGCTCAAAGAAGACACCACCTTCACAATGTTGGCACTGTGGAGCCTGGCACTTCGTCAGGTTCTGTCCTTACAAGAAGCATCGGTGCCGCCAATGTAAGTCCGTGGGACACAAAGATGGATATTGTCAGTCACTGATGCATACGGCCTCTGCTGTTTCAAAGCAATCATCACGCATCCGTCCCAAACCGAAATCGAACCCTGTTGGCTCCTCTCTCAGTTTGCTGGCTACTTTCCAGATCAACACGCCAGGTAACCGGAAGTATCTGACAGTCACCGTAAATGGCCATCCAGTCCGTCTGCAGTTGGACACTGCGTCGGACATTACCATCATTTCGGAGAAGCTTTGGCGCACGCTCGAGCAACCTCCGATCAGACAAGCAGCTCGAACTGCAACTAGTGTCTGCGGTGGAAAGTTAAAACTTTCCGGTGAGCTCCAGTGTTGTGTATCTTTTCGAGGACCGGTTCGTAACACTAACTGTATGCACTTGGACACCAAAAAGCCGTCCCGACGCTGTTAACATTGGCTGCCTAGCTTCATAAAGCCTTAAGGTGCAAACGGCTTAGGTAACTACAGATTATTCACCGGTATAACCTGACTTATAAAAAAGTTGGTTGTGGACCCTATTTGGGGAGTTTTCCAGTGGCCATCTCCGTTCTACCTCTACGCATTGATCGTGACTGCTTTCCGTAATGTTCCAGAGCCTGTTATTTATAGTAGCTGCCGATTGACTACGGATTCACAACCATTTTCGTTCATTTTTGCGTTCACTGCTAATTGACGTGTTGGTGATGTTTTTGTACTATCTGGTTTCTTACGCTCACTAAAGAAGGCCTGCTTGTGATCTCATAAAACGCCCTTAGCCATGTCATTAGTGGTACTAACGTGGCTTCTTACCATGTTTATCAGTTTCTTCTACTGTTCTTTTGCATTTGTTCTTCGAGTAGAGATGCCTCCACAGTGTTTCTCTTGTAAGCTTACGTGTCTTCTTTATTTTAGCCCCCTTGTCGGGCATTTTGTGTCGTTCTTGCACAGGTGACCGGTCGCGCATCTCTGCTATCTCGGAAGGTATCCTTTGTGCCCAGCTCTTCCGGAGGCATATTAATATCCTTTTGCACTTCCCTGCTTTGTAAGCTTTGATGGTAAGTTACGTTATTTAATTTCTTGACCATTAAAGGGAGATTCGGCCAAAGTTGAAGCAGTTGGGGCCACGGACACTAATGCTCCCAATAAGCCGGAACTTTCAGTTCAGCAACCCGAGCAACACCTAGGTAAAGTTATCACAATCGATGTTCCACCTGGCCCTCAATGCTACTGGTAAGTACGTATGGAGCAGCCTATAGCTTGTGTCAGTTCAAGACCTAGAGACTTCAGTGTCGCAGACTTCCAGTGCAGCGTCTGTTATAAATGGTTTCACCTAGACTGCATTGCTTTCAACATAGGGTTAGTTGTATTTTGCCGTTCACCCCTCCTTAAATTATGTAGAAAATCCTTGCCATTTCTAACGGCCTACCACTTTATGTGCAAGAAGTGTAATTCTAATGGTGAAGAGGTCTTCTCAAGGAAACAAGCGAACTTTGCAGTGATGTGCCAAACGGCACTAGCCAACCTGATGTGGAGACATGGCGGGCGGTTATATTTCTCGAAAGAAAAAGAGCTGATCCCCTTTCTGGAAGAATTCTGGGAGGAACTGACCACACAACCACGAAAGTCCAACAACTCATGGTATCCGAACATACACAAAACTTTGGTAGATATGTAGCATTCTGTCTAACATTCTTACAGACTAGCAGCGATGCTTTCAAGACAGTTGATGTCGGCGAGGATTTGGTCGTATGCCTTTCAAATACGGTAAGCACCGAACATTTTCCTTGTAGCTTTCTCTGCGTTGCCGAAATTCGCTCCTAGTAGTCTCACGGCGCCTCTGGGGTACAATAAGAACGATACACTTTGTCGTTTTTTTATACCGAGATTGCAACCGGAAAGCACAAATTTTGAAGTGACAAAAACTCGAGCTTCCTGTCTGTGGAAATACTATTCGACTGTATAGTAATGAAATAATTTAAAACATCTGCTAGATTGTTACCGAAACAAAGCTTTCTGTAGGGGAAATTCTATTCGACTGTATAGTAATGAAATAATTTAAAACATCTGCTAGATTGTTACCGAAACAAAATTTATTTCGAGGATCCCTGAGTGATGACAGTTAAGCTGGACAACGATATCTGCGAACCACTGATCATTTGGTTGGATGAAAGTAACTCACAGCGGGTGCCCACTAAACGCTATAAATTGGAAATCGTTATGGAAATTTCAGAGTCACGGACAGGTATTAGCATTTCGTGGGATGGATCTCCATTCACACCATGACCAGTAGTCATCAAGTGTGTAATTTGCCACCAAAAGCAGTAGGTCCCTATACCAGGGAACTGGTCTTAGTTGTTCTGTCTCTTGAGAGGAAGAACTTTTTTATCCATCCTAATTAAACACGACCCCCCACCTTTGACACTGAATCCTCTGCAACAATACTGTGACACCACCCCGACGTACCAAGACCATATTTCTTGTTCAGAAACAATGTAACCGTGGTAAACGTAGGGCAACCCAATCAGTAAGGGTCATCTAGGATGGAACCAGAGATCTGTATTTGAGCATGGTGCGGGATCCAAAACACAGCAAATGTGTATTTCCATCAAGGGATTTTAAGGTGCTCACATGACATTGATGCAATATTCCACTGGACTACAGCTAGCTCTGAGACCATTGCACGCACTCTCTACAGAAACCCGTCTGAAGCCGCTCTGGTGATCCGTCCATATAACCGTAACATTTCAGACACATTCACAGGGCCCCTAAACATAAGGTGCGTTCTCATTCCAACATCATCCATTAAAACACGCTGTGTTTTCCGCATGTTCCGTAAATCAAACCGGCCTCCAAGAGATCAGGGAAGGGACCGTCTTTTTAGACTAGGTAACTTTGGTATCCATCTGTTTATGGAAGATTTCGTAGATGCTCACGCAGCTACATTAGATTTTTTAACGCATGGTTACACTCGTGTGCATAATATTGCGTCACCAATCGAAATTCCATTCTAGTGTTATGTTTCTGTGGTTTCCAAAGGCTGATGCAGCGAAAGAGCTCAAAACTTTATCTTGTTGCGTCATCGGTTGAAACTGTTTCCGTCGGTAAGAAAGAGCACCACTGGCTTGGTGTTGTTCAGTTTGCGCAGTACTCGTGGCCACTATGCTGTGAATCTGTTTCTTAGCGCTGGAAGCAAATGATAAAATTACTCCCGTTCATTCGAGCCAGCTTTCGGAACGATCACCACTAAGTGTAATAAGGTACACAGTTAGGTTGGGCCGTATCAGGAGGATCAGGATCTTCAGTGCAGCTGGCAACTGTGCTTGGAACTCTAATCTCTACATCTCACGTTTGAGCGCGCGTCGGACAATTTAACCCACAGCAGCAAACACACGACAAAGATAGAATTTGGCTGCCCCTCACTGTAAACCCCATTTTGAACCTGCAATGGGTAGCCTTCAGAAGCACAGGCCTGGTTGTACGTCAGTGAAAACCATCGTGATACCAGCCTGGTATTCGTCTCATCTAAAGTACTCTTGTATTGTTTTGCACAGTTCGATGGATTCCGGGAGAGACGGATTCCTGAAAATCAAGCTGGGTTTCGCCCTGGCCGAGGATGCGTCGACTATGGCTTTACCTTGTAACAAATCCCTGAACGGCGTCATTCCTTCACACGTCCCACGTTCGTCGTTTTTCTTGATTTTAAAGCTTCTTTTGATTCTGTCGATAGTCGGCAGCTCTGGTAGTGTCTGGTGGGCAAAGGTGTCTTCTAAATTTCCATCCATAGAAGCCCAAGAAAATGGGGGATCTTGAAGTACGACTGCACTTTGAGGGCGTGAACCTAAGCGTAATCATGCATCGACTTCCGGATTCTATTTGGACTAGCTTGCGCGGACTAATAATCGTCAAAAGAGTGCCTCTGTAGCACTCTTCAACGTAGGAGAACATGGGACTAAGAGCCACACACTTTGTTGATGTCGAGTGATTCTATTTGTCTGGTATGCCGGGGAGTACGCAGCGAAGGTTGCGTAGCTGCGTAACACTGCCACTTCTGTCACGCGGTCCCCATCCCAGAATATGGCAGTTGCCAATGCAACTGAGTTGACTCTCACTAGCTTTAATGCTTGGTTGCCAGGTCATTGACAGACCGCCAATCCAGTACAAGACTAGGCTAAGAACGCTGTACGGGGCAAACGACCCTCTGGCAGACGAAGTACATGGTCTAACCAGCGTAACATTTGGAGTGTGATCAACTGATCTGTCTACCTCAGCGTGACTGATCTGATGTTCCCACCAGACCAGACAATTATTTGAAGAAGCTGATGGTCAATCACGGAGAGCCTTCGAAGGTCTTTCACACGCAGCGGCCACACCATTGATCCATAAAGTAGAACATCGAACCGCGACATGGTACACTTTACTATTGACAGTCAAGCTGATGTCACGTCGGTGCCATAAATGTAGGAGTTTAGCGAACTCCACCACTTACCGATCCGGGAAGTGATTCCGGACCACCAGGACCTATGAATCTGCCCAGGTAGACTTATCTACCGCATCAGTCGATTTGATCCCACCCACTCATGTAGCAACACGTTATATTTTACAGATACGAAGCGCATACTGTGCAGCATAATTATTTAGGTTGTTTAAACTAGTTTGCATTTCCTAAGGGTCTGATCTGAAAGCAATGTCGTCGGCTTATCCAGTGTCCGTCAAAGTATTTTGATTCCACATATCTTTTCGGGAATGACGAAGCCCAGCTTAGTTCTCCCGAATCTGGTTCTTCCGATGATGATCAACCTGCGAACACTTTGGAAGCTCTGGCCGCTATGCGGATAGCCGGTTGGTTTCCGCACAAACCTTCTTGCACCCTTTCTGAACATTGGAATCACCGTCAAGGTGCTCCATTCCTTGGATCTTCTCTGTCCATTCTGAATAGGTAGATTGATTGAACCGCTAAGCTAGCGTAGCCTGTTGGCTGTAGTGCCACAATGACATGATTTATTTGGTAAATAGGTTTTCAGTGTGTTTCCTTTGTCGCGTCTTGTGAAGCACGTAGCCTTTTATCTGGGACTAGGCCTTGGGACGCATAACCTCGATATCCCTGATTATACGGGCTTATTAGTGAATGAACTGTGAACCACGAGGTCACTTCTGGACTGTCTGTCGATTTACAACACAATCAGTTTTGTTGTCCGTATTAACCATCCTTTTCTATCTTTTGCCAATGGACCCTCAGGATATAGGGAAAATGGGCCCGAGCTACGATCGGTTTCGGGCGCTTACTAGTCAACTTCGTACCAACATAAGCAAGTTGGGTCTCCCAAGTGCACTTGGGACTTCTGGACAGGGATTAAATGACTCGGCTGATGCTAACACCGCCAGCTTTGCGGCTGACCAGGATGGTGCTGGTGATGTGGTCGGTTGGCGGAAACGGAAATCACCTGGTAGTGGAACTGCTATTTCTGGTCAAATTAGTGCCAGTGGGTCTTCTGGTGTTTACGGACCGAGTGGTAACGGAACAGCTGCTGGCTTCAATGCGGAACATGTTGGCTCCGGTACGGGTGTCGGGTTAGACTCCAGTACAGATTTTCTAATGAGGACCGGTACTGGGCGGCTTAACGGTACTGGGGCGCCAGTCACAAGTGGCGGGCTTGGTGGCAGCTTGGTTCGGTCTACCCGTCGTGCTGGTGGAGTTCCAGGTCTATGTGGCGCGGCTGCAGTAGGTGGTGGTCCGTTTTGTGGTCCTGACGAAGGTCGAGCAAAGTTGAACGCTCTAGGATTCCCCATTGACCATCCGTTAAACAAAGAGGGGTACAGGTAAGGTACTTATCACATTATTTCACTTCGAATCCATGTTTTCTTGGTCTGTTTTGAATTGTTTGAATTGCACATTGGATTTTGCGTTGTCTTAGGTAGCTTCGAAGAGATTCAGGTAAAACTTGCCCTCGACGCCAGAGTTCCTTTTCTTGAGAAAACGTAGATGGAGTTTTTTCTACGAATTGCTTGTTTAATGAGTTGAGCGGACTAAGCCCTGGTATTTATCGATTTAGGTATGCCTGCTTACTTTCTTGTCTGCTTCCTCTGGATCCCCGTTTTGTGACAGTTTGGTTTAATCTAGGTAGTAAGCGATAAACTCAACTCAAAACACTTTTCGGCAACCGCTGTTAACCTTTGTCAAGTTTTCTGCAACCTTATGGGTGTACGTAAACGAAGCAGTAGAACAAATAAACAATCATTTGTCGTGATTGAGTTGTCCGTTGTCATAGTTCTTGCTTAAGGTGAGTAAACGAAGCTGGGTATGTATTAGTTATCCTGGCCGGTGGACAGTTAAAGGCTACCCACGGTTACCGAAATATTGGGTCGATAGCATCACGCCCTACTACTCTGTTTTGAAATATAAACCGTCTGATTATACTCCATACGGTGCCAAAACTTCTCCGTGATATCTGGAGCCCGGATTTCTCCAATTATACACTGAACCTATCCATTCTGTTGTGTCATCTTTGCACCCAGGCTGGTGTCTTGCCAAATGGATAGATCAGCTGTTAGGTCTGTTACATTTGTTTGAACTAGGCTTACTGTGGGCTTTCTGTACAATGGCCGTGTGAACCGTGCTTGAGTGCGATTTGACGTGTCGTTGCAGCTGGTTGACTAGCCGGACTTTCGTATCTCCGACGCCCTATTATTGTATTTACAACTCATACCGTCTCCTAACACTGACAGAAGCCCGATGCAGTAGCTCGCGGTAGCCGCATCTAATGGCTTCACAACTGTTACCTATGATAGATGGGTCGGTGGAAAATTAGGTTGCTTTTAGGACGGTCACCCGCCCGAAATTGTGAGCTGTCCTAGCCTCATAGCTGTTCTTCTCCGCGCTGCTATTGGATCTGTAGTTGACCATTTTATGGAAGCTGGTAATCGGCGTTTAGGGTGGGCTCAAGTAGTGTGGTTCATGAAATCCTCCCTTATGGCCGTTACGGAACAATCTGCATTAACATCCTCCTACTTAAAAAAGACAAGTAGTTCAAAGGTGAGCTTTCGATATCTAAACAAACCTGTTTTTTTGCTCACAGATACATACTTGTGGAGGTAGACAAACATGCTTCCGGACGAGATCTTTGGGACGAATGTGAGCATACCGCTGGAAAACCGATTCCTGGACTATTTTATCGCGTGTATCTTAGCCCCCAAGTTGTCATTTCATTGAATGATCGTGGTAAGTTGCCCAGTGTGTAGGCATTGTCAAGTACGTTGAAGGATATTGCTGTTGCAAGCTATGCCTGTCTCCAGTTCTTAAAAGCAAGTTTTCGGGGTCACGGAATGCTTATCAGATGACTGATAACAATCTAAGTGTATTGCTTCCTGTGGTAGAAGCTTGTCCGTAAATTTATGTATAATCCAATATAACTATGATGTTCAGACGTTAATTTTAATGAAGGAACGGTAAGTTTGGCTACATCAGCTGTGTTAAACAGAATGGTGGGAAATCATTCTGTGAGGGTGTGCTGGTTTATACGTATGCATTTCGTTGGTGTCTGTCCTTCTGACCGAATGAGTAATTTTTCTACTGACCAGTTTATAGGGGCGGGCTTAAATGCGAATTAAAAATGAAAACAATTGTATGGTGAAGACGTTTTTCATCTTTGACACAAAATGGTAAGTACTAGGAGCTCGACGTTGAGTCACCCTGTGTTGCTTTGTGTTTTTGTCCAAGGGTTTTAATACACGTTCCGATCATGTTGCATCTTTAGCAAATTGCTTTGTTAAAGTACTGGTCAAATCATATCAGTTAATGTCCATAATAGCTAGTGGTGTAACTGTGTCACGTAGTAGTGCGTGAATCACCCATCGTTCTTTCTGACAGTTGGCCGTTACACTCAGGCCAGTGACAATGTTATTACATTGGAGTAAATTTGCCACTTCTGAAACTCATCTGATCTTCTGTACTGGAATTGAGTGTTTCTTGGAATAGGGGTCGGACTAGTAAACTGTGACTCTAAATTATCTCACCAATGGATAGTGAGTGCTTCATTTTGTTCCAGTTCCTCACGTGCGAGTAGTTTACTTAAGCGGTCCGCCCATAAGACGGATGCCAACATAATTAATCCTGTGATGATAACGTGGTTTCTGATATCTAGAGCGATGTGCTGGTCAGGTACAGCCTCCCGGCCCGTGTTTTGTTGGTAAACTTCTGCCGCTCATACTCCGAGAAAAGTTTTCACGCCGCGTGCACTTTCAGTAATTGGAAAGGGAGGACAGCAAAATCTCTGACGAACACCATTCTGGCTGATGAACTCAAAGAGGTACTCCGTTGCCCCATGCTCCCATGGGTGTTTGAGTATAGGGATTGGAGAAGTTCGGTGTGAAGTTTGAAGGAAGGTCATGGCCACAGGTTAGCACGGTCGACTGAGCTAAACACTATTTTCAGATCTAAGAAGGTAACCATTTTTTCACTTCGACGTTTGGTAGTGCTCGAGTTATCGCAATTTAAAAGTGCGGTTAATGCAAATGAGAGATTCAATTGAGTCTCTCGTGAAAACCAAGTTTATTTGTAAATGAATGTATTTCTTGGAAACAGTCTAATTTGGGTTCAAGTAGAACATAAGGTTGACGGAAACTTGGGGACTGCGCCTACCTGATAAGCCCCAAGAAGAACGAAACCAGTCGTGGACTGTCGAGGAGTTTTCAGCAACCTTGTGAGTAGTTTCCTTCATGCGATTACTGCGTTTACGATCCTTTAGCAACCCTGCTTTACTTTCACGGCTGACGCAAATGCTGGTTAGTCTGCGTTAGCTGATATCTGCCATCAACTCAAAAGTGATGGTGCTTAAAGTGATTCGCACATCCAGTCCTATCACTGTTTTTTTAAAGGTGGGAATGACAGATGTATACCATTTCTTTGACATTTCATTTTCCTAATTCTCTGGAGGATGTTTGTCAGGCCATGAGCTTTTGTTTATGCCCATTGGGTCTGGACTATTCTGCTGCGTTCAGATTGGACACACTCTTGAGATTTTTTAAACATATTCCACTGTTTGGAAAATATTATGTGGTCCTTTCATTGCGTTTTTGAATAGATCTTTGAGCAGTTATATAACTGTGCAGTTCTGGTGGCGTGTTCGCTAACATACGCTCATTCCACAGCGCCAGCCCATATAGGTTTTCGTGACCCATCTGACAATTGTTTTCAAATTACAGGTCACCGTTTGCGTACATTCACAGTCGCTCTTTGACACGCTAACTGTCATTCCAGCTTGGACCCTTATTCAACCGAAACGTTTACCCACCAGGACAGCCATCTGGAGGCAAATCTTTTGACAAATCTGGCTGACAAAACATCCGTGATTTATGAACTTTACAATGCGATTATCCTCGAATCAGCTTGTTATCGAGGCGATGTGATCTAGAGTTATGTCCAGGAGGTGGAGAGATGCAGGAGAAATGGTCCAGTTAATATTCAAACTTTGTTGGCGAAATTGTTGTTCTAGTTGTGAGAGTAGCTAGAGACGCCACAGCATTCGAAGATAGCAAGCTGAAGGTTAAATAGGAGGGTGTAAGTAAAATATGGCGCCTGATGCAATACGTCGAAGTAAATGAGATACTAGGTAGTACGGAGGGGTAGATATCGGACGGATAAATTTAGTGACTGTCATATGGGTGCAACCAACCGAACAACTTTTTTGAAGTATTCCTGAAGGCATTTGATCAGTTTGCTTGTCAGTAGTCTTAGTCACTTGGCATGAACGTGTCACACAAGTGTCCAAAGGGCGAATTCTTCAATTGTAGCGGCTTGTTCAGGCTGAAACGAGATAGAACAGCACTGAGAACCAGCTAAACATCGGATAACGATAGACAGTTCATTTCATCCTCAATACAATATAACTTGGAAACCTAGGAAGATAGACGTTTAAAATGTTTCCACTTTGAGATAGTTACGGTGAATTTGGCGTGTCAGAGTTTGCAGCCCCATTTTACAGTCCTCTTTCATATCGTTAGCGACTGATTTTGAGCGTTGTTTGACCTGAAGCGCTTTGGGCGCAAAGATGCCTGGGATTATTTATGGAAACGGTTGGTTTAATAAATAATGTCATAAAAATTTGTGAGCCAATTGAAAACGCTTAGTATGAGTCCGCGAAGGTTTTTGGCATAGATGATTTGGTCGTAGTTCTTCCCGCCCCCCCCCCCCCNGAAAAACGAAACCGATTTCGAACGTACCGCGCGCTGTTGTCATATATAACACGACCCCACGAATGTGGTTCCTCGAAAAGATACACAGCACTGGAGCTCACCGGAAAGGTTTAACTCTCAACCGTGGGCACTAGTTGCAGTTCGAGCTGCTTGTCTGATCGGAGGTTGCCCGAGCGTGCGCAAAGCTTCTCCGAAATGATGGTAATGTCCGACGCAGTGTCCAACTGCAGACGGACTGGATGGCCATTTACGGTAGCTGTCAGATACTTCCGGTTACCTGGCGTGTTGATCTGGAAAGCAGCCAGCAAACTGAGGGAGGAGCCAACAGGGTCCTAGCACTTACACCTACCCAACTGAAACCCTTAGCATTATTCCGCAAGTGCGACAACCACCCTCCTAAGTGTTCTTAGTTATAATTTACCGCTTTATCTATCTCTCATGCAGACGTTCACTTCCGGCGAATACACCTTCCGCTCTCTGGATTGCATAGAATGTCTAGTGCCTTCCATCGAAGTTGTCGTCAAGCCCGTCCCCACAGACTTGGTTCCATTTCCTCCCCCCGGCCTTAAGCTTTTCCACCTAGCTAAATTATTCCTAGTTCTTCAAGCCCGGCCCCATTCCTGAGTAACTCCGTCAGCTCTATTTAATGTCTGGTGCCTTGTTTTGACTGGATTTAACTAACCTCAGCCAAAATGAAACCTAAGTTCCTCGCTGTTTTGAATCACTATGCATCCCCTTAACGCGCACAGCGCACACATATCAAGTGGTGGGTCTGAAGATGCGCCGTGAATGAAGTACTTGGTTGGCCCCACAGCCCAATCATTCACACATACACATAGCACCGGTGAACCTCTACTTGACAGAGTGGTTCACACTAATGCTTTATCTTCGTTTAGCCATAGTACACAGGCTCTGAACATCTCCATTCCACCCATATTGCCCAAACGGCAGTTGATGTTTATTATTATTATTATTATTATTATTATTATTATTATTATTATTATTATCCCATTTCATATCCCCTCAAACTCACTATGTTTTGCAAATCTCCTCCCATCCCCTCACCTTCCCAAGCCTTAAACTTCGGAAGTGCCCGCTTTGGACGATCTGGTTAGCTGATCTCCACTCCACCTGGCCATAAAATCCCTTTCAGGCTGAAACCGCATGTGTAGTGCTCTGTGAATGACGTGATCCCCAGCTAGCCATTAACTTGTTTACGGCCACGGCTGTGTATCAGAGATGATGGTAATTTCGGAATATAAAGCAGCGGTTTGTAGGACTGACCAGGGGACTATGGGGATATTGTCATACCTCATCTGATGACGGTAGGTCTGTTGGGACCACTTCTAGACCGGTGGTTGGACTCGCAAATGCTACAAAGTGTCAGTCTGCTTGATATGGGCATGTGTGCATGTGGGTGCCAATGGTGATGTTGGCCATGAATTCTGGGCCAAAACAAGCTAAATCACGGTTGGATATAGTACATGGGATGTGACATGGGTTTGGCTTGTTTGTAACACTGTTAGGTGCTATTTTCTAGCTGTTTGTAAATGACCCACATTCTAGACGCCCCGGAGTGTTCAACCCGCAACGATATTGAAAGTGGCCTTCTGTTTTCAAACCTTCTGTTTTTCAAGCCTTCTGTCTCAAACTGCTTTTTCGTTATTTATATCACCGTGCTTTCGGTATACCTTACGGGCTGTGTAGGTCGTTCGGAAAACCGTTTAGCTGTCCCCACCCAACTGGACTTTTAGGTATGCTGATGGATTGTGGCTACTATCCGGTTTCTTTACGTCGAGTTAACACTGATATACAACATTCCCGGACGATTCTACTTTCCGGTGCAAATTGCCTTCAGTCTTAGTGAATATACACTCATTTGCAAACTAATTTGGTTTTTTCGCGCGACTCATCTGGAACCCAGCTGAATCCCTTGGTTTTGATGTTTCTAGGCAACTCAATGTGCTGCACTAGGCCGCCTCATGTTTCAGTCGCTACGATATTCGAGATATCGCGATACATATACACTTTGCACTGCACTACTCATAAGATTGCTGAAAACTCCTCAACAGCCCACGACCGGTTTCGCCCTTCTTGGGGCTCTTCAGGTAGGCGCAGTCCCCGAGTTTCCGTCAACCTTATGTTCTACTTGAAATCAAATTGCACGAAACTAGCGATTATGCACTCATTTGCAAACTAATTTGGTTTTTCGCCAGACTCACTTGAACCCAGCTGAACTTCTCGGTTTTGATGTTTCCTTGAGTTTTATCTATCCCGCATTAGATTCCATTATCATAGTTCAGTGTGACACGCAAATCTCGAAACGGATCGCAACTCTGCTTCGGGGTGTCAATTCACGAATATGGGCGAAATATTTGTAACAACATATAGTTGATACTACTGTATTATCTGCAGTTTACTCCAAACAAAGATTACAACGTTATCGTTTTCAAACTTTAACTAATAAAGTGCACAAGAGTCCGAAATTTCTGCGAAATTCCAGGCTTTATGTAGCTTGAACAGGGATGCACGATGGTAATTTTTGGATTTTCTGCCGAATGCTATACACTTTCCCTTGCGGTCGTTTGTTGCCTTTATGTATGCTCATTTTTTCCGGTTGTTCCATTGTCTCAGCGTATGGGGAAGTTGGTCATTTAAGTTGACCACCCTTAGGGTGATAAACCACAGCATTTAAGTGTCCCGGTGTCGAGTAAAATAACTACTTGAATATAGTCATTCTCTCTCAGGTTTGCTCTGGACCGAGCAGTTGGTTTTCTGTTCTATCTCTTTGCAGCCAATCATTTGAAGCTTCACGAATCACAATTGATGATCACTGGGGACAAAGGTTACTGTATGGCACGCGCAACTCATGGTGTTCATACTGGAACTTGGTACTTTGAAGCAACGATAACGGACCAACCAGAAGGTGCAGCCACTAGGATTGGTTGGTCCCAAGTTTTAGGTAAATCTGTTTGACTTTTTCGGTGCGCTTTGTTATATCTTTTACATTTGACGTCATTTTGACGCACAGTTGTCACGTAAATTACAGGGCCCATGGAAAAGGATGACCTACCGTTATGTCGCTTAGGGTTGGTTGGGTAAGGCATTTTCAACCACTGCTTTGTCTCTAGTTCGCTTCTCTTCCGTTTCCTCTAGTTCAAGTCCACGCACCCCTTTCGAATAGAATTATTTTTAAAATCTAGGACCCAGTTTTGTGTTCACAAACTACTAGAATAACGCATGAGGGAACATGATCTACTCCTGTTCGACGGCCACTTCTTTATACCTGACCAGAAAATCACGCTAACATTCCGCTGTTTTCTGCGATTATAGCTAAACGAATCTGTTTCGAACTGACCAACTCGGTGGTGAGGACAGCTTAATTGTAGTCTGAGTTATTGCGTTTCAGAGTTTGCGGTCGGAGGTTGATTACGCTATTGCCATAGAATTGTTAGACAGAAGGCCATGAATGTATTCTGTTCGATGTGTATTCATACCACATACCAACAAAATCGCTTTCCGTATTTATCACTGATGACCGTCATCTTCTGAATTTCAGGAAACTTGCAAGCACCTTGTGGTTATGACAAGTTCAGCTACTCCTGGCGATCTCGCTTTGGTACTGTATTTCACGATTCACGTGGTCGACACTATGCTGATTCGGGCTACTCGAAGGATGATGTTATTGGCTGTATGATTCATTTGCCCACAAACACGGGCAATGCCTTGACGTCTTCGGAAAATAAGCCAACCAAACCAAACGAGCCAACAGATAGTATGGACTCTGCTGAATCGCTTTCAGTCAGCGAAGCGCTTGCCAAAGTAAACGCCGCATCGGGTCGCTCAACTAATGTAGGTTCAAAAACGCGTCCTTTGATGGTCAACCAGTTATTGGAAACCTACAAGGATCGTGTAAGTCAATAATGATTGCTCTTCGGCTGTCATTGTCTCCATTTTTACATTAAGTGAATACGACTTTATTTTTCCCGCTAAACTAGGTGTACTACCCTGGTCACCCAGTAGATATTATCGTGGACTTGCATTTGGATGTCTTGAGCTTGATCCCCATACGGACTGGGCTCGCAGGAGTGATAAACTCTGCAGCTGTCTCATCAATACAGTAGTATAGCATTTGATGGAGATAATGCCAACCGTAATGCCTTGGGAAACGAAAAAGACCATCAGTTGGATGGGCTAACACGAATATGAACGTGTTCATTTACCGTTCTGTTGAATTGACTCACAATACGCATCACAATACGCAAGAAGTCAAACAGTACCTGATAAGGAAACCTTGCTTACATAAGAGGTGGAGTGCTCTTTTTTGATTGGGACTGTATAGTTTGTCGTACTTTGTTTGTCCCTAGCTTCACCGTGGAATCGCGGTTACTTTGACTAGGCGGTAGCTAGTTGATGTGGTTCAGACTGTTTGGTGGTCAAGTTTACAGCAATTCTGAAAGAAGCGACAACTAACGTTAGCGTGAATTTCGAGGAACACAGGCGGTTTCATCTTTCATTGTGTTTCATTACCAACCTTGCTTTCCACGATTTTTTGGAAAGCAGGGTTACTTCCTCAATAAATGATTGACGTCTCATCCTTGTCTCAGATGCGTCTTCTTGAATGATTCGACTGTACCGATGTGAATGATTATCTAGTTACAAACTCTCATTGTGCCCCTCTCCTTTCCTCTCTGATAGCCTCTGATCAAATTCCGTAATTCATATTACTTCGAGGAGAAGGATGAACCGACCAAGGCAGAGAAGGCACTTCGGGCACTACCTGGAAGTAAAGTAAGCTTCACTCTTCGGGAAGGTTTGGTAAACAATCAGCGAATTCATTCTCAACTTCCTCTCTTCTATGGTATGATCGTATGACTTATGTGAGCTGCGAGTGCCAGTTTTTGCATGTTACAAAACCAACCGTTTGCCGTTCACACTGCACAACGTATTAGGGATATGGAATTTCCTTCCAAGTAAGCAATATCCTCATCTCCGGGGTCGCTCTTCGGTCGCCGACTTTCGTTTCCACATCTGGACCCGGATCGCCAAAACAGCCTTTTGCAGAATGGGAAGCGCTTGTAATTATCCTTCTTTCTGGATTCCATTAATGCCAGCTTTTACGCGTGCCCATCGGGCCTCCATATCAATCGAGGGCTAAGACTAGAGGTCAATCCGGTGTACAAGTGTGAGAAAGTGTGGGGAATCGAGAGACGGGAAAATGAGTCCGTAGCTGATCGAAACAGACGATAGAAGAGGGCTTGTCATCTGAAGTCCACAATCTAACTAGAATGGCGACATAAAGTTCGATTCCAAATAGAGTAAGCTAAAAGAGGCGAGAGAGAATTTCCATAGACAAAGATTCTTTTCCACGGAGTTCGCTCCTTACTTATTGTTTATAATTACATCGTCCTTGGGGAAAGGGGATGGGTATCGTGTGACACAAGTTTTGCAGATTTCTCTTCCACAAGCACACCTGTTGTTTGTGGGTCCTTGATTTTCCCGGATGATTGATTTCGAAGTTTGACGAGGTGTGTGAAACTTGGACGGTCGTAAGCTTCTCTTGGTGCGATTGTTCTGATTGTTCCACACCAAAAGAGAGGAGAAAGACGCTGCTCTCGTTTCACTCTAATTGGAGCTCAGCGGTAGCATACATTCCTGACCATATTCGGGTTTAAACTTCTATCATCTGACGTGCGCACTTATCACGTTACCACTACCTCTCCAGGGAGAACAAAAGGACTGTCCAAACAAAATTACACATATGGCTTTACCAATCCTACCAAGTACTTACAACTAGTCGAAATTTTCCAGCAGGTTTGAAATTTCAATAGTCCCACCTGCCCACAAAGTCCTGACAGGTAGTCATCATCCTACACAATGAAGATAATGTCCTGGCTGCCGCCTGAGGCGCCGGGCGAACCACACACATCGCTTAAGCTTGGACTTGCCTGCCTATGTAGGAAGGCTAGCTCGCGTTCGTACAGCGTGCACTGGTTGATCAGTGGTAACACGCTAGCCAATGTGTCAGTTGCTCAGGGCTAAAATGCCGACACGCTCGGGTTTATGAACCTGCCTAATTGACCGTCAAACATCAGTACATGTTGTATGCAAGCTGTTTTGGTTTGAAACATTTCTCACAAAAAGCCAGACGAATTTTTGAAATGTAACTAGAAGCCTGCTATACCAGAGGTTTGCCGGACTATTAGAAGCTTGATGTTAAGTGGAATCATTCTTTTACCTTTTCATTAAGTTGAGTTGGTCTAGTCCCTCTTTCCCAGATATCTCCAAATACACTTCCCGCGAAAACTGTTTCTTCAGCATGTGTTGTATTGTGTCCGAATTCGCTTGAACGGTGTCCAGATGCAGGTTGGATGGTTGCTGTTGTAGCGCGTCATTTAGATCGGTCGAGCGACATAGTGGGAGAAGATGATGCTGAAGTTTGAGCTAAACAAAAACTGTTTCTTCAGCATGTGTTGTATTGTGTCCGAATTCGCTTGAACGGTGTCCAGATGCAGGTTGGATGGTTGCTGTTGTAGCGCGTCATTTAGATCGGTCGAGCGACATAGTGGGAGAAGATGATGCTGAAGTTTGGAGCTAAACAGATTACTAAAACTACCTATTATGTGACGAACATCTTGCTGGTGCCTCTAACTCTTTTGGTATCTTCATGAAACTCCATTCCATCTAACTACCGCCACCGAATTTGTCAGTATGCTTATGTGGCTGTTTTGGAGAATGGTTCCTGTTTGATCACTATGTGTGTGATATGTGTCTCTCTATGACGTGTTTTACCAGTCTTATGTTGGTGGCCAACACGTCGGTCAACCCCTACTTCTCAGACAGCAAAATTCGCATTCGCCGAAAATCAGCTGACGGAATGCCAGATCGGCTATGAATCTATCCCAAAGAAGCAATGAACCTATCGCGAAACAAAATACCAGGGCATTTTTGGAGAGAAAGGGAAACAGAATGCTCCTCGTTAGTGAAGACATATGCAACTTCTCTAACCGTTTCTTCCATCGTGCGAGCACTGGTAACAGAGAACCCACCTGGCTGCGTTTTTCAGAAGTCTGCCGAAAGTGATTGCGTTGCTAAAATATTTTCGTTTTACTGTCCCCCACAATACTTCGATATGAGTTACCATTCATCAGTTGATACTGGTGACGAGCCCATGGTGATTAGGTTTGGCCTGGATCCCATTGGCTTATTCCCTCTAAATTCTGTGGCATTTTCACAGATTTTGCTTGTACTTCGCATACCTCTAACTCGGTGCTTCACCCCTTCATGCAGATCACTTTCTATCGAAATGGTGAATGTCAAGGTACTGCGTTTACTGACATCTATGCCGGCCTCTACTATCCCGCAATCTCGATCTACCGGTCTGCGACAGTTTCAGTAAACTTCGGGCCCAACTTCAAATACCCCCCGCCACGTGATGAAGCGGATTGGCAGCCTGTGAGTACTGACCTGGACTAGGACTAGCTTCATTCGTATTCTCGGCCTTGTCTGTTGCGCGTTCCTTTTCTGAACTCAGTAACTCGTATTCAGTCCCGTTTGGCGCTTTTGTTTTGATGCTCCGTTTATCCCTTGATTCTGGTATCCCTTTTACTCAGTTATTTGATTGCGTTAATCCTCCATCACAACTACATGTAAATTCTGTCTGTATGATACTCTATCGGGAATTCCGTTACTACGGTTTCTTCTAATGTAATCGACTAGTGCAAGAAGTAGCAAAAAGTGAACCGTTTACTACCATTGGGCGACTGCCATCGGCGCACGTTTTATAGCCCATCGCTACATGCGTTATCAGGTGTACTGGGACCGTGATCACCGGCTTTGCTTATTCCGTCTTCAACAGGTTGACACCTGTCACCTTGGCAATTTTACTGGGGGTAGTGATATTCAGCGACCTCACTGGGCCAGGGTATTCGTGCATCGATCCCCTCAGAAGAGTCCATTTAGAACAATCAAACACAAGACGTTTTGTGTTTCTAAACTTGTATTACGAAAGGGCACGAAGGCTTAGTTGTACTCTCTTTTGTGACACGCGTATGATGGTGTCTTACATGCAAATGGCTGTCGTTTTCATATTCATAGGTACAGCAACATTATCTCTCATCAAGGAAGTTCACCTCTGTGTCAGCTTGTGACTCATTCTTGAGTACTTTATGTAGGCCAAACAATTGCAATATGTCGCCTTCGGTCCGTGTATTTTCTGTCCTTATTTCTTTGCGTTGGTAACTTACAATTAAACCACAACTACACGGTCTACGTCGGATTCACACACAACATAAGCTCTTGCTACCGGTTCCTTCCTCGGGGAAAGCACTGTAAAGTGTCGTTGGCTGGTTCGCTGAGCTGGGCGATTTGGTTGCAAGCGTTTCATCACCAATCGAGGTGACATCATCAGTGCGTAGTTGTGCGTAGCGGTGGGTTAGTGGTTGTGCGTTCAGTAGTGTTGCGTGTGTTGATATACGTGCTGGTAGCCGGGGATGACCTTTGACCGCGATTAGTTATTC